AGCAGGTCCTTGCGCGGCGTCATTGTCCAAGCAGCGCCTGTGTCCAACACCCAATAGTCCAATGGATGCAGCTCTGCTCCAGCCTTAGCAGATGCGTCTCCTTGCTCCCCCTTGTCTCCCATATGGAAGAATTGGCCCGCGGTGCGCTCCTTCTTCTTCTCCGCACCGCCGTTGCCCTTCGGGTTGTTGTCGGACGAATCAGCGACCATGTTGGCGCCGTTTTTCTGGTTCCTCCGCGCGCCGCCATCCTGGTGACGATTCTGGGGGGTCCATCCATCGGGTTTCTTATAGCACAAAAACCAGGGGTGCCCTTCCTTCTCACAATACCAGCAACTCCCTTTCATTTTGCCACCAGCACCCGACTTGCCCCCACGTCCAGATTTCGCACCGCGACCCCAACCGGTACCTCCTTGTTGGTCGTTGGAGTCGTCATCTTTCTTTGCACCGCGTCCAGCACCACCGAAGCCACGTCCTTTGCCACGTCGGCTCCCTTGCATCCCGTAGCCGCTGCTGCCGTCGTCTCCACCCCTCAGTTGGCGGCGACGGAAGTCCTCCTCCAGAATCTTCGTCCGCACCCACTCGAGCGTCCACAAGCTCTGGTTCTGCGGCAGGCTCAATCCGCTCGTAAATTGAAGCCACGATTCGGGCAGCAGCGAGAGCATCTTCAAGCACTTTGTTTGCTCCGGGTAGGTGATTCCCGCGGTCGCCAACTTCGCGTAGAGGTCGCGCAATTTGTCCAGGACAGGTTGCACCGGCTCTCCCTCGCTCAGGCGCAACGCGGACAGCTCCCTCTCCAGCATCAAAGTTGCAACAACGGAGGTCGGGGCGTGCAGCTCCTTCAACACGGTCCACGCCTTCGGACCGCACTCAACCTCCGGCAGCAGGTGCATGACGTGGTGACGCTGGTTCAGCTCCAAACTCTGCGACATCAAGTAGTAGCCAGCCGAGGCGCGCTCGTCCCAATCTTCCTGAAGGGCGGGGTCACTCGGTCTAGGCTCCTCCCCAATCATTAGTTTCAGCAATCCGATTTGACGGAAATAAAGTTGCATTTTCCAGGCCCAATCATCATAGCCCTCACCATTGAACTTCTCGACGGTGAAGTTTTTCAGCACCTCCTTGATCAGCGAGCCCTGGCTTGTTCGCGCTCCCCTTGGCGCAAAAACACCAGAATCATGGCTGCCGCTACGATCTTGGGCTGAAGATTCACCAGCTACCGCCGAGGTGTTGCCCGCCATAGCTACCTATATCGAGGATCACTATAACGCAGCTCTGATACCAGCTTGTTGGTGTAAGGGCCTAATAAACTCAAGCTATTAAGACTTTATCACACTTAAAACCTCTCCTCGGGGTCACCTCCAAGGGTCCTTGGGTGCCTGGTACAAGACCAGCCCCTATCCTCGGGTCCGAGTTTGTAGAGAGAGGGATCAAGAGGGACTTAGTCAAAACAGCAAGAGTACCTTGAACGTCGCGCAGCGTATCGTGCAGACCGTCGATCGGATTAAGCTGAGAATTTCCTATATCGAAGCTCACTCTAAGAGCTTTAAAATAAGCCAAGTTGCCTCGCGAAAAGTTCTGCCATTACGAAGTTATGGCTCGGACAGCGTTAGCCTAGCGTTGGAGTGCTAGCGTACTAGCGTTGACTCGGGTAGCATTCCGCCGTCGCACCGCGTAGAAAAGAAATTCCAGCAAGGAAGGAATTCGCTTGAATCAATTTCACTATATTCAGGTACAAACAGAGAAGTAATAAATAGCTCTAGCTAGCAAGGATCTTGGGAATCAACCTGGGAACAACCAGGGATGATCCCAAATAATTCCAAGCAACAGAACCAACCTGGCTGGACAAAATAGCAGGTGATAGGTTGGTGAACAACCTCTGGTTCTGTTTTTCCAACCTGGGAAAACAACAACCAGGTTCAGGTCCTAAAAACAGAACCTGTTTTGTCTTTGCCCAACCAGCCAAATGCTGGTTCCGCTGGTTTCCCCTGGCCCTGTAGCATGCAGATACAGACAAACAACATCCAACCTTCACCTAAATTGTACCCCTATAGTGCCTGCCCTGCTACACTATAGTCAACCAAACAAAACAGTACAATTTCGAGTTGGATAGAACTGAATCTGCGCAATCAAGTAAGTTGAACCGCAAAGCTTCCATCTTGGGTTCCTTTGCGAGCTCGTCCTTTCTGCTTGTACTGTTCATAGCGCGTACAATGTTATGCCGAAGCGCACATTTTGCGAGTACCTGCAAATGCTTCAAGCGAAAATTGCGAAAGCAAACAAACAAACATACCATTCACACGCAAATGCATTCGCACACGCATACTCGTACAAACAGACGGCAGGATGTCGTGCAATGTGAATTTGCACCCAACATCGATTGTGTAGGTGGTTTGTGGTATTTTTGTCTAGCTGGTTGTGGGGAAAGGGTTCCGGCAAAATGGTTTACTAGACTTGTTGTGGGCTAGAATTGATCTCACACCCAACAAGCACCAACAAACCTTTGCTATTCACTACAACACCTTTGATTTTGCTAGTTTGGCACTTTGGGTTGTTGGGGATTGTTGTAGGGTGAAGGTTGGGTTGGTAGGGTTTGACCAACTTATCACTTTGCAGATTTGAACTCTTAATATAGCTACTCCTAGATCTAATCCATGGCTGCCAAGTTATTCCGCTAGGATACCCCGTCGCACTTACATCGCGATAGCGATCAGCCTAGATCTTGGATGAAGGCGTGCTTTACTATTCTGGAAATTAGATTATGACCTTTCCAATGCGTAATTGCTCAGAGTTTAAGGTTATGTGAGTTTCACGCAATGTTCCGTCAAAGTCGGCAGACTTAATCTCTTCTTACGCTCTCTAGATTTGCACGCTTTCCATCAATCCAGTCCTGTACGAAGGCTTCATCTATCCTGCTGAATATACTGCGAGTATGAGGTCGGGTTGGAGTGTTTGTCACACAAGACACGGGTTGAAGCGTGAATGCGGTTAACTTACTGGCAGGGATGGGCACCTTCGGGACGGCTTTACGCTTCAACACGACATACTAATTGAACTGACAATACAATGAAGGCACGTTATAATATACCGTAGTGACTACCCTAGCTACGCGGGAACCTCGGGAATACGAGGCTGGGGGCAGCTTTGGCGAAGGGAAAACCGAAGGCGACGGGAGGTGGCCTCAGAATCGTGGATGTCGGCCGAATGTGCGAAGTCCGAAAGTGCTGGGGTTGTACGCGTAGCAGGCGACCCCCATAAGGAAATTGTTGAAACTAGGCGATAAGAAGGAATGGTAAGAGAGGGGTTTGCACTAGTAGGCAGGTGGGATACATGTAGGAATCCTAAAAGGGTTGTACTCTCTGTTGAGTACCCCACTACAGCCTACAGAGCAAAAAACAATTTGACACACCCCCATAGGCGAAGTGGGGGATAGCCAACACAACAAGCAGTCGCAGAACCAGTTCACAAGCAAAGCCTAGTTGGAGGAACAGAGGGTAAGTGAGGAGAAGGAGGAAACTGGAAAGGAGACGAGGTGGGCGGCCGCTGAAGCTGCTGGCACTGGTCGCAAACGGCATAACTGGCTCTGCTCGACGGCAAGAGCAACTGACCCTCTGGGGACCGGAGCAATGGGTAACTGGAGTAACTGGCTCGCTCGCCAGCAAGAGCAACTGACCCACGAGCCTCTGACGCAACGGTCTCACGGGGGACTAGAGCTACGGATTTCACGATGGCTACCTCTGTTCAACCTCCCCCCATTGCCCCAAACCCCCTTGTCACATCCCCCTCTGCATCCCTAGCACCACTCCCCCAACTCCCACACCATCCCCCCCACAGCGGCAGCTGCAGCAGTGGGAGAGAAAGGAGGAGGAGCAGCCGACCACTCACACCCGCCACCCCCATACCCTCCCCCCACGGCTGCACGCGCAGCAGGGAGATGAAGGAGAAGAAGGGGGGCGGGGGAGCGGGGTAGGAGCTGCCCCGGGACTGCATGGGCAGGCGCGCGGGCTGCAGAGGTGGCGCACGGGTTGCAGGGGCAGCGTACAGGCTGCAGGGGCGGTTCGCGGGCTGCAGGGGCGGCTCGCTGGCTGAAAACCGCCGCCCTCCCGAGGCGCGCGGGTCCACGGGGGGGTGCGCGGGTCCCACGGGGGCGGCGGGGCCGGCGCGCAGGTCCCATAGGGACAACGCGCGGGTCCACAGGGGCGACGCGCAGGTCCACGGAGGCGACGGGCGGGTCCCACAGGGACGACGCGCGGGTCCACAGGGGCGACGCGCGGGTCCACGGAGGCGACGGGCGGGTCCCACGGAGTGGCGCGACGGGTGCACGGGGGGCAGCGCAACGAGTGTACGGGGCGGCGCGCCGAGCAGAAGACTGCCGCGCGCCCCGGGGCGCGCGGGGGGCAGAAAAACCGCCGCGCACCACAGGGCGCGCGGCAGGCTGAAAAATGTCGCGCGCCCGGGGCACGCGACTAACAGGATAGTAGCGGAAGCAGTAGGGCTCATTCACAGGATCGACCAAGGAGGGTCGACCTGCTCTGTTACCATGTTGAATTAGGCGATAAGAAGGAATGGTAGGAGAGGGGTTTGCACTAGCAGGCAGGTGGGATGCATGGAGGAACCCTAAAAGGGTTGTAGTACTCTCTGTTGTGTACCCCACTACAGCCAACAGAGCAAATAACAATTTGACAGAAATTGCACCTAGGGTACACCTATTCTCTCGCCATTTCTAGTTGTACCTCTCCCCCTACTAGTCGATCAACACTTCCGCTTCCTACTCTAGGAAAAAGGATAAGTAGTGCACTTATACGTAGTAGCTAACATAAACCGCATTAACATACTTACAATTGGTACGAACTACGAAACATAAGGGTAAGTAATGCAGTTACACTTGGTTGGTACTCAGAGAATTACTCGGCTGGTATGGTATCAGTGTGAAAATGGCCTCTGTTACACAGCAGCCATACGAAAACAGTGGGAAAATGAGCTTCTGTTTCTGGACCTTGGACAAGTCACGGCAGGTCTGGAAGTTTACTGCAGTGGCCAGCTGCTTGATGGAGCAAGACTAGCAGACTTGTACTGGACCCAGCAGTTGTTATGGTGCCTAGGGATGCATGGCAGCACACAACTTGCTCCACGAACAACTGTATGTCTGTTATCTCGCCTGGCAGCCCTGCCGGGTAGGTGCTGAAGGTCGTGCTGTTGTGCGCCACATCATCCCCCCACTTAGCCTGCGGATTTAGCAACAGAGAGGAGATGCTTGGCGGGGTAAAGCCGAGCATGCCACCATACCGGTATCATATATGACAGGGTTTTCATGGGAACTGCTGAGGTGGGTGAAGTGGAGAAGCAAGGCTGTCATGACCACAGAGATGTGCAATCAGAAATATGTGCAAATGAGCATAAGACCCCCCTCCAAGCTTCAACCTCTTGCGATTCATTGCCAAGCAAACATCGCTTCTAGATCAATGCATGGACCACTGACGACCCTTGTGCAAGCAGCCCCTGTACATCTACCCTCACACACTGCCCATCCTTGTGCCCACCCGCTTGCCATGAGCTTGCCAAGGCCCCTGCACCTATTCCCAAGGCAGGCAGTGGGAGGTGCGTGCACGCATGCGGGTGGGCGGCGCTGTGCTGCCACGGCCGCCACAGGGAGGCTGCCAGTGAGACCCCCCTGCTGTGCACACACTCATGCTGCCCCCCTGCTGTGCACACACTCATGCTGCCCCCCCTGCTGTGCACACACTCATGCTGCCCCCCTGCTGTGCACACACTCATGCTGCCCCCCTGCTGTGCACACACTCATGCTGCCCCCCTGCTGTGCACACACTCATGCTGCCCCCCTGCTGTGCACACACTCATGCTGCCCCCCTGCTGTGCACACACTCATGCTGCCCCCCTGCTGTGCACACACTCATGCTGCCCCCCTGCTGTGCACACACTCATGCTGCCCCCCTGCTGTGCACACACTCATGCTGCCCCCCTGCTGTGCACACACTCATGCTGCCCCCCTGCTGTGCACGCACTCATGCTGCCCCCCTGCTGTGCACGGGGCAGCATTACGCCGTGCCTACTGGTGTGCCGCGCCCATGCCCTCAAGTCAGCCATGATGGTCATTCTAGCAGTACGAGAACACTGCATTCACTTGAGCTGTACGTTTGCACTACAAGCATCAAGACCCCATGCTGCGTTAGCGAGTCAAAGAGAGGCTGAGGAGTGGCATACCTGTGGGGGAGGTGCAAGTCGGTTGGCTCTGATGCCGGCCCCTTGTTGGCGCAGAACGCGCGAGAGATCATGCATGCGCGCTGTGAATGGTGTGGCATCCAGAGTCACCACGCGCACTCCCAGAGCAGCGACGCGCGGCAGCAGCAGTGCGTGCCAGGTGGTGCGGTCCAGGTCCGTCATGAGGAACACAGGCACCCGCCCCCCTGCCCCGCTGCCATGCCGCCGCACCATGCCAGCAACGGCTGCCTCTGCTATGCTGGGCCGGAGGGGGGGGGGGGGGGAGGGGGGGGGGGAAGGGGGGGGGGGGGGGGAGGGGGGGGGAGGAACGAGCACGAACAGTGGTGACATGGGCATGCATGCATGGTTGATGTGGAGTTGAAACAGTGGAGAGCAGCAGGCAAGGGTTGCCTTGACATGGACGTGCACACGATGATGCTCTCCTCCCCGCATACCGCAGTGTGGCGTTCAGTTTCCAGCTGTACGGCGGCTCCGTGCCGCGCACGTGCACACATGCATACGGGCGCCGCAAGTGCTCCCTCACAAACTCGGCAGCTGCGTCCAGTATAAGCTGCACGAAGAACGGCAAGGCGGCCTGCCTCACACGCGGGACGGGAAACAATGCCACGGGGACAGAGGAAAGCATGAAGAGCGAGCAGACCTGAAAGGCGCATTTGCTTGAACCGTATCCGCTTACAATGCAAGAGAGGTGATTCCACATGCACACCTGTCCACGGTCATGCTGTCCTTGGAGACAGCAAAACGCGGGCATTCTTGCCTCCCCTGCCACTTCACGTCTCGGTGGAAATTCCAGGGAGAGCACGTATAATGTCTAGTCGCCCTCCACTGGGTGAATGCTCACCACTATCCTCACTTTCCACTTGTAAGCACTACGCGCTGTATAGTACCCATGAGCAAGGGCCGAATTAGGACTGTGACGAACCTCCCTAGCCCGTCAGCCTTGCCAGGTCAAATTCAGGCCTTTTCGCCTCCCCTGACACGTGCCCAGCCTCTGCAATGGACGGGCAACGGTGGGCCCGAGTCGGACATAGTGCGGGTGGTGAGGAGGCGTAAGGGGCAGAAGCTGAGAGCGGTGACGGATTTGGGTCTTGGACCATGAACCCCGACCCACTGGATCCGCGCCACCAACCACTGCGCACACGTGCATTGCGTTTATCCAACCGCCAAGGCGCATTGAGCGTCAACAACGTTGCTCTATCACAAGGCTGCAGCAGGCTTCCTCAAGGGCAAGCACGTGCGAGGCCAGTGCAAGTCCGCACTCAGGGGTCTGCGTAGCGCACGTCCGCACTCAGGGGTCTGCGTAGTGCACGTCCGCACTCAGGGGTCTGCGTAGTGCACGTCCGCACTCAGGGGTCTGCGTAGTGCACGTCCGCACTCAGGGATCTGCGTAGTGCACGTCCGCACTCAGGGGTCTGTGTAGTGCACGTCCGCACTCGGGGGTCTGCGTAGTGCACGTCCGCACTCAGGGGTCTGCGTAGTGCACGTCCGCACTCAGGGGTCTGAGTAGTGCACGCCGGCCCGCTTTCATGAGGTGGGCTCCGAGGCACTTGCTGGCAGGCTGACCACCCAGAAACAACGCTCCGGGCTGCCCTCGCGCCAGGGGGGCCGCCACCCTTTGCTCATGCCTACTGTATACATACCACGTGGTAACCACCCCATCACTCACGTACTCCCCATGCCCTTGCCATAAGTGCCAGCCCTACTAGGGCTAGAGCCGAGGGGGCAATAAAGTCATGTGCGTGCTCACATGATCATGGCCGTTACGACAGCAACGACCCAACACAGTGCGCGACAGCAGCAGTCCCATGCCAGGGCCCCATGACGCCCCATCACTCCCCTGCTCACAGCTGCCCCCTCCAGCACAGCGCTGGGCACTGGGTGCAGGCAATGACGTGCGTGCATGGCGGGCACAGCTCGCTCCACTACCCAGAGGAGAGCCCTGCGCGCAGCAAGTGCGGCACGTGCGTGCGTGCACAAGTCATTTCAGCACACACTGTGCACGCACTTTCCCAAACGCGCAAACAGCACGGCGTGCAAAAAGAACAGAAGCAGGAGCGCAAAAAGGCAAGGAAAAGTGCTTCGGATGTGGTGCGTGGTGAGGGTGAGAAGCAGCAATGAGGTGCGGGCAGCACGCACTGACCTGTCGTATTTGGTTGATGCGAGGGCCAAAGTCGAGGCGAATATCAGCGATGGGTGTGCGGAACATGGAGGGGAACGCCATCACCTGCACACTCAAGGCCAGAGGCCCCGGCAGCACACACGCATGCATGCATGAGACGCAGCAGCTCGCTCGCACGAGCAAACACGAACGAGACAAAATAAGTTCACAAAACTGCATGCAAGCCCACTGCCCTACGCTAGGCGATGGGTGGGGCAGCCAGATGGCAGAGCAAAGGGGGAGCAGCAGTGGCAGAAGTGACCTTGGCAGTGTGCGGCATGAGCAGGCGGTGCAGCGGCGTGGGCTTGGGCAGATACTCGTTCACGTCCGTGTTCATGCACAGCTTGATCGGCCACTCCGCCCTGTCTCCCACCGTCGCACGCAATGCACGCAGGCTGCACACACAAACGCGCACAGGGGGGGGGGGGGCGTGCAAGCATGCGGGTTGTGCATGGTGCTTGGCGCACGGACGCAGCTGCGCCCTGGGCCTCAGCGGAATTGCACCGGGAAGGGCTTAGGGCGGGCGGGAAAGACGGTGGGCGCGTGGTGGGGAGGGTGCCATCATACGTGGGCAATGGAGAGCGAGAAGCAGCAGGAGCAGAGAAAGGGCAGAGCCGTTACCTGGAGTAGTTGCCGATGGTCCACAAGGTCTCATTGCACATGTGGGGGACACGGTACAGCAGGCCCTGCGCCTCCCACACGGCGGCCACGTCCGTGTGTGCGCCCCATGCCCCATGCACGGCGCCCCACACTGCGTCCAGCGCGCCCCACGGCCCTGCGCGCGCCAGAGGCGCCGCGCCCAGCCTTGCCCCGCACTGCTGCAGGCAGTGCACACGCGCCTGGCAGGATGGGGCGCACGGGGAAGCAGCACAGACAGGTGGTGAGGCGCGCACGCCTGCAGTGAGCACACGACAGCAGCTGACACCCGTTGACCACATGCTCGCACGCCAGCCGCACACGCAGCGTGGTGAGCGCTGTAGCGCACATGCTTGTAGCGGGTGGGCGAGGCGCAGCGAGGCAGGCGTGAGTACCTGGTGCGAGGACGAGGTGTTGCGCGTGAGCCCGTGGCACGAGGCCGTCCAGCACGGCACGGCCACGTCACAGGCGCAGAGGCGAGCCACGAGGTGACGCAGGTCGATGGTGCGCACCACAGTGGGCGGTATGGCCGCCACTCGCAGCACGTCCGCCATCGACACGTAGTCCTGCCCGCACACCGCACACCGCACAGGGGACATGGCATGGGGGCGTTAGCAAGTGCACATCACGGTCAGGAAAATGCGCGCAATGTGCATCAGCGCGTGCGAATGTGAATCGACGAGCGAGCAGGGTAAGGGGCGGGGCGCGCGGCGTACGGCGCGCAGCAGGTGGCGCGAGTACACGGCCCACGCGGAGTCGCGGAAGGTGGCGGGGTCCATGTTGCCGCCCGCGCCTGACATGTGTGGCAGCTTGGGCGGGATGACGAGCGTGCGGTTCAGCAGCGCCGCCATGTGCAGCGCGCGCGTGAAGCCCAACACCTTCCGCCGGGTGCCGGGGGGAGGGGGCAGGCGGGTGGGGGAGGAGAGGGAAGGGCTTGATTGACGGGGAGGGTGAGGGGCGGCAGGGCGTGTAACAAGATTCAACCACCGAATGTGGGACTCAGGCTTGCCGCAATGCGTTAAATAACGGCCAAGGTTCAGGCGCCTCCAAGATCGAGCGTTGATAGCGCGGCGGGGCGTGCGACGGACCTGGTTGTTGAAGCCGCTGTGCGACGCGTACACAAGGAAGCGCTCGTCGCTGCCCAGCGACCACTCGTCGCCGCCCTCCTCCCTCCCGGCCTCGCTTCCTCCCTCCCTCTCCTGATCTCTCTCCCTCCCTTGCGTCACTGCCCCTCCCACACCCCCGTTCCCCGCCGTCGCCCCCATCAGTGCAGCATGGGGTGCGGGCGCAACGCGCTGGCTGAGGCCCGCCAGCACCACGGCGATGGAAAGAACCACGGCCACGCCACCTAGGCAAAGCGCGCGCTGATTCATCTCAACCCGCCTCTCGATCAGTGATGGACGGGCCAAGGAGCAGCATTCATGATTGCCTGACCACGCAATCTATGGAATTTCGGTCATAGCGAACCAACCCAAATCTTGATCCTTCCTAGTTCAAAACCCGCAGGCCAAGAAAGTTCAAGCTTAGAAAACTTGGTTGGGAACAAACCAGCTATTGGCACGCGAAGGGACTGATCCGTCGAAAAGGTTGGACGATGTGGGCGAACTTGATCAGGGTCGCCAAAGTAACCACACCCTCAATGCGACAAGAACACCCCCACCTATCAATCGCACAAACCCACTGGCGACTAACCACGTCGCCCCACAACACATTTCAGAGTGTCAAGCCCAAGGACGCTTCTATCGGTAAGGGCGGGTCAAGCTTTGCACATGTACGGTAATTTTCAACTCTGTTACCACAACTACGCAGTAACAGAGCTTTTAACTTACGTGATCCGTTTGACGCGAGACAGTACATAAATAAGTTCATTTCGGAAATGGGCCCCGGGACTTCTGAGCAATCCGAAGGTTCGTCTCCCAAATTGCTCCCCTGTCAAAGTCGTCAAACAGTAACCCTTTCGCCATTACATTAATCCCTTCGCACTTGATGCGCAAACCCTCGCAACATCTGGTAACTCTCCTTCCTAGGTACTGTACCTCGCAACGTTAATGTACCTCATCAAAAGTCCGCACTGTACACACCGAACTGGAGAGGAAACGTTAGGACTACGCCCTGGGGTAGAGTCAAATTTGATAAGCTTGTTGACGTAAAAATAACGAAAAAATCGGGCGTGTGCAAATCTGGGCACGCCCTAAGTCTGTCTATGCCACCTGGTTCAGAGTAGGTAGAGTGTGATATCGTCACCGCACAAACCAACGACCCGTGACTGCGTAACCTATCGATTTCATGGTCCCGTGACAAGGACAAAAATAGAGATAATTCCGTCGCCGGAGCGTCCAGGTGCGGAATCCGCGAAAGAAGCTCTTCCCACCACGGTTATGGTTAGCTCGTGCAAATATTTCCTCACACCACGATTCCCCTACCCTCACGCCAGGGTTTTCTCCCCTTCCTTACGCCAGGATTCCCCATCCCGGGCCCGTCGCGCTGCTATTTCTTCCCGTCGCAGCGCGTAGCCATTTTTCCCGCGTGACGACTTCATGACGTCGCCTGCAACACCAAGATCATCGACTATTCCCATCCCGAACGCATCTGTTCCTTTTCCGCCGCGGCAGGTACCATTCATCCTGGGCGTCAGCAACCTTCTCTCACCCGTCACGCCAGTTTCGCACCCGTGAGTCAACTATTCCCACCCCTTTGCGCTTAGGTTCCCTCCCCCGCATGCTTCCATCCCCTCCCAGGAACCCCCTACCATTCTCCCCTGCCCCTTTCACGCTTCCATTTCTACCCCCGCATGCTACATTATCCCCCCTTTCACGCACCCATTCCCCCCCGCCCCCTTAACGCTTTCTTTCATTCCCCCGCATGCCACCATTCCCCCCATTGCACGCTTCCATTCCCCGCTCCCTCTCACGCTTCCATTCACCGCTCCCTCTCACGCTTCCATTCCCCGCTCCCTCTCACGCTTCCATTCCCCGCTCCCTCTCACGCTTCCATTCCCCGCTCTCTCACAACAATTCTTATGCAGTCTTCGCGACAAATTTTACATTCGAATTGTTGTGCAACATTGCACATTTCAACAACGTCCAGAATCTCGTTCTCTCTTCAATTTGAGCTGACGATCTCAGGGCTCTCGAAGTAAGGGCATTTGCCCTTAAAACCGGAGTCCCAAACAGCCCAAAACTGCCTCAAAGTTCCTAACTTTGGTTGGGTGTGGTTAAAACCCGAAGCCTGAATTTCAAAAACTGAGTCAACGCTTGGTTTGGTAGGTTGGGGGTTCGGGCAATATGAGGTGCGGAAGAATTGCGAAAGGTGGAAGGTTAACGAAACATGATGCGACTCTTCCGTGAGTCAACGAGAGGATATCAGACATCGCAACCCGACAGTTGGCGACAATCTGCTTACAGCCTCAGAGAGTTGGAGCAGAGTAAAAAACCTGTGCGACAGAACAAGCTAGCAACTTAGACACTAGCTTTTAGGATCCAAGCATAGCACGCTCCAGCCATGCATATCAAGCGAACGCAATTTAGGGACGATCGAATAGTAGGTGCGGTGCAGCGCATATACCCAATCAAAAAGAATCGCAGGCACTGACGACGAGTGTGAAGCACGGAGAAAATGGTCAACACGGGAGATGGCAGCAAAGGGCCCACCTCACTTTCCCCGCTCGTCGCCCTCGCGCCCCCCGCCTGTCGCCCTCGCTCTTCCCGCCCACCGCCCGTCGCCTCGCCTCCTCCCCGCTCGTCCCCTTCGCTTCTTCCGCCCGCCGTCTCTTCTCCCCGCCCGTCGCCCTCGCTTTTCCCACCCATTGCCCTCGCTACTCCCGCCCGTCGTCCTCGCTTCCCCCTCATGTCGCCCTCAATGTCCCTCCCCGTCGCCCCTCCCCGTCGCCCCTCCCCGTCGCCCCTCCCCGTCGCCCCTCCCCGTCGCCCCTCCCCGTCGCCCCTCCCCGTCGCCCTCACGATTCCTCCCGTCATGGGCCAAGGCCTTCCTTACCACTTCAGCAAACCTCTCCTCTCCTCTCCTCTCCTCTCCTCTCCTCTCCTTTCCTCTCCTTCCCCCCCCCTTCCTCCTCTCCTCTTTTCTCCTCTCCTCTCCTCTCCTTTCCTCTCCTTCCCCCCCCCCTTCCTCCTCTCCTCTTTTCTCCTCTCCTCTCCTCTCCTTTCCTCTCCTTCCCCCCCCCTTCCTCCTCTCCTCTCCTCTCCGCTCCTCTCGTCTCCTCTCCTCTCCTCTCCACTCCTCTCCTCTCCTCTCCTCTCCTCTCCTCTCCTCTCCTCTCCTCTCCTCTCCTCTCCTCTCCTCTCCCCTCCTCTCCTCACCTCTCCTCTCATCTCGTCTCTGCTCCTCTCCTCCCCACTGCGCTCGTTCTTTTTCCGTCCTTACCCTCTACTGCAATCACCTCTCCCCCTCGCTGTTGGTATGTTTAGAGTGTATTATGCATCTACTCTACTCATCCATGTAATGCTCTCCTATCCCCACACCTCCCTTCCCGTTGCCATCACTACTACCCCCGCCCGTCAGCCTCCCTTCCCCCGCCCGTCAGCCTCCCTCCCGCGCCCATCACCCTCGCTTCCCTCCCATCGCACTTCCCATTGACCTCTCCTCTCTTCCCTGTCGCCGCGTCGACATCGCTCCCCATCCCTCCCAGTTCCTCATGCATTGGTGTAACTTTTGCTCATTCTCTTGCCCCCCTGCTCATTCTCTTCCCCCCTGCTCATTCTCTTCCCCCCCTGCTCATTCTCTTCCCCCCCTGCTCATTCTCTTCCCCCCCTGCTCATTCTCTTCCCCCCCTGCTCATTCTCTTCCTCCCTGCTCACTCCCAGGATGCCGATCGCCCTGTCAAGGCCATTCTCAGAGCTTCCTTGCTGATCACCCGGACACTTGCTCTCATCTCTTTGTCCCTCGCCACTATCCTCTCTATCACTTCAGTACGCAGCACTTAGCCTCCTCTCTCCCTCACACCCCGTCGTGCCCTGCCCCCCACCAATGCAGGCAAGAGTGCATGCCATGCCGCTGAGCGCACCTCACAGCCTTGCCGTCGCCACTGCATGGCGCCTATGCCAGCGGAGAACACACTCCTCGCCTCTCTCACACTCCTCGCCTCTCTCACACCCTCGCCTCTCTCACACTCCTCGCCTCTCTCACACCCTCGCCTCTCTCACACTCCTCGCCTCTCTCACACTCCTCGCCTCTCTCACACTCCTCGCATCTCACACACTCCTCGCCTCTCTCACACTCCTCGCCTCTCTCACACTCCTCGCCTCTCTCACACTCCTCGCCTCTCTCACACTCCTCGCCTCTCTCACACTCCTCGCCTCTCTCACACTCCTCGCCTCTCTCACACTCCTCACCTCTCTCATACTCCTCGCCTCTCTCACTCACACTCCTCGCCTCTCTCACACTCCTCGCTTCTCTCACACTCCTCGCCTCTCTCACACTCCTCGACTCTCACACTCCTCGCCTCTCTCACACCCTCGCCTCTCTCACACTCCTCGCCTCTCTCACACCCTCGCCTCTCTCACACTCCTCGCCTCTCTCACACTCCTCGCCTCTCTCACACTCCTCGCATCTCACACACTCCTCGCCTCTCTCACACTCCTCGCCTCTCTCACACTCCTCGCCTCTCTCACACTCCTCGCCTCTCTCACACTCCTCGCCTCTCTCACACTCCTCGCCTCTCTCACACTCCTCGCCTCTCTCACACTCCTCACCTCTCATACTCCTCGCCTCTCTCACTCACACTCCTCGCCTCTCTCACACTCCTCGCTTCTCTCACACTCCTCGCCTCTCTCACACTCCTCGACTCTCACACTCCTCGCCTCTCTCACACCCTCGCCTCTCTCACACTCCTCGCCTCTCTCACACCCTCGCCTCTCTCACACTCCTCGCCTCTCTCACACCCTCGCCTCTCTCACACTCCTCGCCTCTCTCACACCCTCGCCTCTCTCACACTCCTCGCCTCTCTCGCACCCTCGCCTCTCTCACACTCCTTGCCTCTCTCACACTCCTCGCCTCTCACACTCCTCGCCTCTCACACTCCTCGCCTCTCACACTCCTCGCCTCTCACACTCCTCGCCTCTCTCACACCCTCGCCTCTCTCACACTCCTCGCCTCTCTCACACCCTCGCCTCTCTCACACCCTCGCCTCTCTCACACCCTCGCCTCTCTCACACCCTCGCCTCTCTCACACTCCTCGCCTCTCTCACACTCCTCGCCTCTCTCACACTCCTCGCCTCTCTCACTCTCGCCTCTCTCACACCCCTCGCCTCTCTCACACTCCTCGCCTCTCTCACACTCCTCGCCTCTCACACTCCTCACCTCTCACACTCCCCGCCTCTCTCACACTCCTCGCCTCTCTCGCACCCTCGCCTCTCTCACACTCCTCGCCTCTGTCACACTCCTCGCCTCTCTCACACTCCCCGCCTCTCTCACACTCCTCGCCTATCTCACACTCCTCGCCTCTCTCACATTCCTCGCCTATCTCACACTCCTCGCCTCTCTCACACCCTCGCCTCTCTCACACCCTCGCCTCTCCCTTCCCTTTGTGCCATCTATCCCTGCCCGCCGCTCTCTCCCTCCGCTCCCCACTCCCCGCCCTCTTTCCCCCCACGCGGCAAGCGAAGATGGTGGACGTGGTGTGTGAGCGCGTGAAGAAGGTCAATCTCGACGTGCGCAAGGCGCATGCCATCAGCGCATTCCAGGCAGCGGCCAGCGTGGCGGCGGTGTTCGGCAAGTGCTGCACAGACAAGGCTGCTCTGACCCGCAGGGCTGAACAGGAGAAGCTTCTCAGAAATGCACTGGCCACAAGCGAGGGTGTGTGGGGGGGGGAAGGGCGTTCGTGCCATTTGCTGTGTATTGACCCATCTGCCGCTTCACACACTCCTGTCCCCCCCTGCTCACTCTCTTTTCACCTTTTCTCACCCCTCATTTCCCTTTCACTCACCCCTTTCCCCTTGCTGGCTCTCTTTTCCCCTTTTCTCACCCCCCATCCTCCCGGCTCGCTTCCTTCCGCCATGCTCATTCTCAAACCCCCATCGTTCTAACCCTGTTCCCGCCACTCTCTTTCCCAATGTTCACATCCTATTCACTCTCTCTTACTGTCTTTCCCCTTTCACTCACCCCTTTTCCCCCCATGCAGTGTACTGGTGCCCAGCACCGAGTGTTATCACATTAGCATGGGTCGTGGTTTATTGCATTCAGCGTAGCAGAAGTAGCGCAACATTTCGCAGCTTTGTTGCTGTATTTGGGCCAAAAATCATTTGTGTTTTCAGAAAATATGCTGATTGTTGCCCTTCTTGGCACTGATCAATAGTGAAATATTTCAAAACGCCAATACATGGCATGGCTTCGCCATATTACTGTCCAGCATCCAACACATCACAACTAGATGCATAGTTCAAACACAGACCAGAAAATCAAATGCGACATAAAAGGCGAGGCATGGATGAAGGGAGAAATACATGAAGGGAGTAAGGAGGACGGGAGAGACAGCTGAACTAAAAGGGATGTGGGGAGGGAGGATGGGAGAAAGAGGGAAATTCAGGAAATGAAGGATGTGAGGCAGGGCAGCAGGGGGGAGTTGATGAAGGGATAAAATGGAGGAATGGAGGACGTGATGAAGGGAGGAAGGGCTGCAGGGAGGACGGGGAGGTGGGTGGAAGGGGGTTAGGGGGGAAAAGGAGGAGGAAGGGTGGAAGGAAGTGAGTATGGGAGGAAAGGAGGAAGGGAGGGACGGCAGAAAGTGGCTAGGAGACAGGGAGGAAGCAGGAAATGAGGAAGGAGGACGGGGTGAGGATGGGAGGGCGGAGGAGATGGGGTGAGGCGGAGGAGATGGGGTGAGGCGGAGGAGATGGGGTGAGGCGGAGGAGATGGGGTGAGGAGGAGACGGGGAGAGGAGGGGATGGGGTGAGGAGGAGACGGGGAGAGGAGGGGATGGGGTGAGGAGGAGACGGGAAGAGGAGGAGATGGGGTGAGGAGGGGGCGGGGAGAGGAGGGGATGGGGTGAGGGATGGGGAGGTGAGGGATGGGGAAAGGAGGGATGGTAAGAGGAGGGATGGGGAAAGGACGGATGGGGAGAATAGGGATGGGGAGAGGAGGGATGGGGAGAGGTGGGATGGTAAGTGGAGGGATGGGGAGAGGAGAAATGGTAAGAGGAGGGATGGGGGAAAGGACAGATGGGGAGAGACTCGGATGGGAAAAGGAGGGATGGTAAGAGGAGGGATGGGGAGAGGAGGGATGTGGAGAGGAGGGATGGGGAGTGGAGAGATGGGAGAAGAGGGATGGTAAGAGGAGGGATGGGGAGAGGAGAGATGGGGAGGTGAGGGATGGGGAGATGAGGGATGGGGAGATGAGGGATGGGGAGATGAGGGATGGGGAGATGAGGGATGGGGAGATGAGGGATGGGGAGATGAGGGATGGGGAGATGAGGGATGGGGAGATGAGGGATGGGAAGATGAGGGATGGGGAGATGAGGGATGAGGGAGGGGAGTGAGCGAACGCGGCGGGAGAATGTGAGCGTGGGTGACGGAAGGATTGCGCGAAGACGATGGGAAGGGAGTGAGTGTGGGCGACGGTAAGGGCGTGAGTGTGGGCGACGGTAAGGGCGTGAGTGTGGGCGACGGTAAGGGAGTGAGCATGGGCGACGGTAAGGGAGTGAGCGTGGGCGATGGGAAGGGAGTGAGCGTGGGCGATGGGAAGGGAGTGAGCGTGGGCGATGGGAAGGGAGTGAGCGTGGGCGACGGGAGGGATTGAGCGTGGGCGACGGAAGGGGAGTGAGCGTGGGCGACGGAGGGAAGTGAGCGTGGGCGATGGAGGGGACCACCGCGACGGGAGGGGATTGAGTGAACGCGGCGGGATGGATTGCGCGTTGGTGGCGGAAGGGGAGTGAGCGAACGCGACGGGAGGGAGTGAGCATGGGCGACGGAGGGGAATGAGCGAAGACGACGCGAGGGAGTGAGCGTGGGCGATGGAGGGGACGGAGCGAAGGCGACGGGCGGGGAGTAAGCGTGGGCCTTGGAGGGGAATATGTTTCTCGCGACTTGCGGGATGAGCGAGGGCGACGCAGGGGAATATGGTTACGCGACTCGCCGGATGAGCATAGGCGACATAGGTGAGCATGTTTACGCGACCGAGTCGGATTCGCATAGGCGACGGAGGGGAGAAGTCCTAATGCGACGGGACGGGCGCGAGTGCGTCACAACAGGCAAACATAGCGATTGAGACTGCTACAAATGCCTAAAAAAATGCTGATCTAATCGGTAGTGCAGGCTAAAAGTAGGCGAGGGACTAAGCTATTTCTCTTGACCTGAATGACAGACTTTCTGCTAGGTGTGCACACCCACAGCCAGACTCAAGCGATCCTTCCCTGTGTTGCCTGCGACTTCCTCACGTTTACCTGTTGAAGACGTGGTAACCACCCAGGTCGGGAGGGAAAGTGTTGACACCTCAAAACACTTTTTGTAATGTAGGCTTCGGGTTTAAGGTTAAGGTTATATAAGGTCGTAACCATGTACAACAAAAACTTAGAGCAGCTAGAAATATGGTCTACACAAACCAACAACCCAGAGGCGTATGTAGGAAAACACGTTATTTCTCTATCCATTGGATAGCCACCAGCCAAGCTGGGGAGCTCTCCATGTTGGTGCAACCTACGGTTTGCACTCGGCTTGTTGTTCGTGTGCGTACATGCGTGTGTGCATGGAATGGTATGAGGCAGGCCCTCACAAGTCAGCGAAAAAAGGCTGATTAGGGGTAAAAAGGCTGTGATTTCAGTGGTGGGGGGATATTAAGGCTGTTGTGCCAGTTTTTTTTTAAGTGTTTGCTGAAAGTTCAGTTTTTTTTAAGCGGTTTTTGCTGAAATGTCAGATTTTTTCCAGTAGGGTATGCTGTATCGTCAGAGTTGTAAGAAAGGGTTGGGCTGAAATCCCTGTAGTGGAGATTCGCGTAAGAGCCCTGAATTCCGGACGTCTAGGTACACTACTTCGACCCCGCCCCCGTCAATCACGCCGAAATGGCAAGATTCATTGTCAACGCATTCGAGAATGGCATCATTCCCGAATGTTCAATTCACTGCTGTCTTATCGCGGAGGTATCTTCGCTCCTCATTGGTTGTTTGGGCAACCACATCACTCTCTGGCGAATGGAAAGTCAACAGCGCTGCACAACGCACGCACGTTGCTGCAGCACAGCACCACAAAATGGTTGCCGCGCGATTAGGAAACCCCCCCACCCCCCACACCCCGAAGCTGCAACCAGGTACGTGCATGGAGCGCGTCGCCTTGTATCGTGGCACGGTTAGCTTAGCTTGCCAACCAAGCCCACTTCATCAGCTCGTTCTTGCATATCCCCAGGCAGTTGCTGGACTCCCCCACCCCACACCCTAGCCCGCTAGGGTTTCTTTTCTGTTCCTTCGCCCCTAGCACCAAACAATTTTCTGCACGCTCTCTCAGTGCTCGGCACGCTCTCTCTGTGCTCGGCTTGCTTTCGTCTCTGTTCCGCCATGGCTGGCCATGGCGCCGGCCTTTCAGACGACGAGGGTGACGGGGATGTAGACGACGCAGATAGCATCGCCATAGAAGAAGCCCGTACTGGGCTAGATCTTCTACTAAGATCTTTAGGCCGCCAACTACCACCTCCAGCGCCCACTGCACCCGGTCCGGTTCCTACAGTGGCGGGTAACCCGAACGTGCCTTCCAACCCGGATTCCATCCGGTCCGTCCCTCCTGCGCCGCCCGGTGTTTCCGACACCGTTCACGTCGGCACATCGGCGTCGAAGTCGTCAGCACCGCGCACAATCAAGCTTAAGCAACAGAAACTAAGCTTCTGGAAGCCATCATACAACATCCCCGTATCTGAAGCTGTTGTCAACGAAGCCACCGTGCGCCCGTCTCAGGACATCAACGTTCAGGAGATTGTTGATGCGATTTATGCCGAGGCATTGGATAAGTACAAAAGTAAGTGGATTGAGCGTTTCCCATGGCTTGTACTTACCAAAACTGTTTGTGGTCTGCCTGCTTTCAAATGCAGTCTCTTCACGAAGCACGCCGGTGTAAGGGGACGTTGCGGCAGGACAGGCAAAGATGCTATCGACGTCCAGACGCAGGCCTTTTGCAAGCACGCCGGGACGAGGAAACAGAAGCTGGCACTGGAAAAGCAAGAGGCCCTGCTTGTTGCCGCGCCTAAACAGCCCCACATCGACGATCATCGTGCAGCGGTCGATGCAGAGAAGATCCGGGTCACGTCACTGCTTGAGGCGCTTCTGTTCATCAGCGACTGCGACGCACCCATGGGGACATGGGTGAAGCTGGTGCAGTATCTGTGAAGAAACGAGGAATGAAGAAGAGAGAGGGGTTCACTAGCAAACATTGGGATACATATAGCAAACCCTAAAAGGGTTGTACTCACTATAGAGTACCCCACTTCAGACTAGAGAAACATAATATTTTGACACACCCCCATAGTCAAAGTGGGGTGTAATCAGCACAACAAGCAAAGCAGAACAAGCTCAGGGTGGATCACAATGTCACCACAAATTCTGAGCACAAGTACAAGAAGCAACAGTTTAAAGTTCACAAATGTAAGCAAAGCTAGAGGCTATCGCGAAGGGCAAGTGTAGAGGAGGGACTATGAGAGGAGAGGAGGTAGTGGGCGGCAGCTGAAGCTGCTGGCACACGGCGCAACTGGAGCAACTAGCACACGAGCAACTGGAGCAACTAGCACACTGGCAACTGGAGCAACTGGCACACGGGCTACTGGAGTAACTGGCTCCGCGGCTAACTCTGTGCGGTAGGAGCAACGGACTCACGCGCGTGTCAGAATGTTATTCTCTAGCCTGTAGTGGGGTGCTCTATAGCGAGTACAGCCCATCTTGGGTTTGCTATATGTATCCTCATTGCTGCTAGTGAAACCACTCCTTCATTCTCATTCAATTTTACATGGTATCAGAGCGATTCCGATCCTAGGACCCAGCTGCTTCCGCTGCTACTCTGTGCTCGGCACGCCCCGTGGCGTGCCCCTCGCGCTTCTCTTAGCGCCCCCCTTGCTGCCCTTCCAGGCCCCTCGCGGCCCCGTCGCCTCCCCTTTCGCGGCCCGTCGTCGCCCTTCCGCGGCCCCGTCGCCGCCCTTTCAGTGGCCCCGTCGCCGCCCTTCCGCAGCCCCGCCGCCCTTTCAGCGGCCCCGACGCCGCCCTTTCCGCGGCCCCGTCGCCGCTCCTTACAGCGGCCCCGTCGCCGCCCTTCAGCGGCCCCGTCGCCGCCCTTCCGCGGCCCCGTCGCCGCCCCTTCAGCGGCCCCGTTGCCGCCACCCCTTCAGCGGCCCTGACGCCGCCCTTCAGCGGCCCCATCGCCGCCCTTCCTCGGCCCCGTCGCCACCTACAGCGGCCCCGGCCCCGCCCCGGCCCCGCCCCGGCCATGCCCCGCCGCCAGCCGCGGCGCATCGGTGCACCGCCCCCCCCCCCCCCCCCCCCCCCCCCCCTTTTCCCGTCGCCTATCGAGGCGACCTGAGGGGCAACCTAAGGGGGGGGGGGGCGAGCGTCGCCTCTTCTGCAGCCTGCTTTAGCGCTCTGGGCGGCCGCGCGTCGCCCCCCCCCCCCCCCCCCCCCCCCCTCCCTACCCGCCATCCCGCCCTGCCCTGTGTTAGGGTTTGGGGGTGGCAAGAAGGGGGTGACGGGTGTGTGGTCTCCCACTGCTGCAGCTGTCTCTGAGGGGGGTGGATGTGTGGGAGCCTGGGGTTTAGGGTTTAAGGGGGGTACTGTGGGAGTGGAGCTAGGGTTTTGAGGGAGGTGGATGTGTGGGCGTCTGGGGTTTAGGGTTTACGGGGGTGCTGTGGGTGTAGGGTTAGGGTTTGAGCAGGGGGTGTGTGAGAGGGGCGTTGGGCAGCTGGGGGAGGTTGCGTGGAGGCACCAGTCTTGTCGTCAACAGTCTTGTCGTCAGCAGCACCAGCAGTCCGGAGGCTACAATCTCCCGTAGTCGCCAGTCGCCTGTGGGTCAGTTGCTCGTCTGCCGCTACTTTTAGCCACGGAGCCAGTTACTCCTGTAGTCCGGGCCTTTGCTTCAGTAGCCACGGAGCAAGCATCTTGTCTGTGTGTCTGCAGCGTCAGCAGTCACCTCCCATCTTCTCTCCCCCACAGTCTCTCCTCCTCCTCACTTACCCTCTGTGATTAGCTCTAGCCTTACTTACCTATTGTGAACTCTTGCTCTATGCTTGCTTGCTCATTGTGCTGATTACTCCCCACTTTGGCTATGGGGGTGTGTCAGAATGTTATTCTCTAGCCTGTAGTGGGGTGCTCTATAGCGAGTACAACCCATCTAGGGTTTGCTATATGTATCCTCATTGCTGCTAGTGAAACCACTCCTTCATTCTCGTTCAATTTCACAGGGCGACTGGAGCAACGGGCTCACGGGCGACTGGCGCAACGATCTCACGGGCGACTCGAGCTGCGGGCTTCACGGCGGCCACTCCCTTCAACCTCCCCAAACTATCCCACCCCCATTTCACACACCCCCTACTGCACCCCTAGGTTCACTCACACCCCACCCCCTAGCACCACTCCGTCGACTCCCACACACCCACCCCCCTCAGCGGCAGCTGCAGCTGTGGGAGACAGAGGAGGAGGACGGGGCGGCGAGTGGCGGCGACGGGGCCGCAAGTGGCGGCGACGGGGCCGATAGGGGCGGCGACGGTGCCGCTAGGGCTGGCGACGGGGCAGATAGAGGCAGCGACGGGGCCGCTAGGGTCGGTGACGGGGACGCTGGCACCGGCGACAGGGTCGATAGGGGCGGCGACGGGGCTGATAAGGGCGGCGACGGGGCCGCAAAGGGGCCGCGAGGGGCCTGAGAGGTCGGCAACGGGGCCGGTGGCGGCAGCGATGGGGCTGATAGGGGCGGCGACAGGGCCCCTAGGGTCAGCGACGGGGCCGCTGGCGGCGGCGACGGGGCCGATAGGGGCGGCGATGGGGCCGCGAAGGGGCCGCGAGGGGCCTGAGAGGTCGGTGACGGGGCCACTGGCGGCGGCGACGGGGCCGATAGGGGCGGCGACGGGGCCGCGAAGGGGCTGCGAGGGGCCTGGAAGGGCGGCGACGGGCCGCGAAGGGGCCGCAAGGGGCCTGAAAGGGGCGGCAACGGGGCCGCGAAGGGGCCGCGAGGGGC